ACCTCTAGTCCTTCTTTTCATTAAACTAGACATACCCAATCCCTGCAAACATTGTGTATATGTTTTAGCCTCCAGTCCCTGAATTGGCTGCACTGAATCCTCCCCCTTCCTTTATCCTGGGATCTTCTGAACCACGCGGACTGGATCCCAGAGGCCCATCTGTTTCCAAAGTAGGACTGATCAATAACCCCCAGATCAATAATCTCCTTGTCAAACCAGGTTCTTGCTGAGCCAGCTTTGCTTCGGGTGTTTGGTACCCAAAAGTACATTGCTGGTGAAAATAGCTTTGTTTTCATGCCAGAGAGAAGATCTGCGTCCACCAATTTATTCTTGTATGGATCAGAATCTGGTCCGTATAAACCACTCCTTCGTTTATTTTTATTTTTATTTTCTGAAAACCCCAGGAAATCTTTCTGAGCTTCATCCGAACCCTATCACCAATCTTTAGTGGCAGGAAATGCAACAACCCTCTGCAACCTGCTGAGATTTTGAAAACCGCATCTGGGTTTAGCATGTCCTCAGGATTTATTAAGGCAATGAAAACAACAAGCAAAGGAACCCCCCCCCCCAAGGAAAAAAAACCCTTCTCCCCTTTTTAGTGTTTCTGCCACTCTCATTTTCTCGCAGCTAGAAAATGCTGCAGTCGTGTCAAGCGAGGGCCGGAGAAAATTGGAGCATTTAGCCAGAACACTGCTCAGCTCCTGCTCGGCCACTTTCAGTAATCGCAGGCTGAATGCCGAGAGTATTTCTTCTCTGCTGCTCCAAGATTTTTCCTCCCCCCGTCCAAAGGAAAGAGGCTTTGTTTGCAGCAGATGGGCAGCTCGGAATATTGTGGTGTGGGCGGTGAAAGCCAGAACACCCGTGGACAGTGGAAGCTGCGGGCAGGATGACACAGCCAATACCCGTGCAATTCTTCTGCAACCACAAAGATTTGGGGCAGTCCTCCCAGGCAAAGGGGGCAATGGAAGACGCCAAACCCACTCGGCCAGATGCTGGAGAAAGCCAGAGGTAAAACACCACAGTGTGGCCATTTGTACAACATCAAATCTTCCCCTGGAGGTTGACTTTTCCTTGGGATTTTGCCTTCTCCCATTGATCTCTGATGCCCAGGAAGCTGGGAAAATGTACATGAGCCTTAGTGCAAGTTAGCAACCAGCCCTGCCCTGCCAGTTTTCGAAAGCCCAGTTTTGCTGGCTGTGCTGGTGAACCAGTTCTGCACAAGGCCTTGAGAGATGGAGGGAACAAGTTTACCTGTCCAGGAAGGTGTCTCCTGTTCACCTTCCGAGGGGGAAGATTCAGCACCAAGGACAGCTTCCAAGGCTGGGCTTGGTCCAAGCAGCTAAAGATGCTGTCCTAGCAATTGGCAGCCAGCAGGGTTGGGTTCTTGAGGTGGTTGCAATTTTTAAGATTTCTGGTGGGTCAGGTTTGGCTGTCTTCTCCAAGGCATCATTCTTCTGCCAGATGAGCCAGGTTGCTCCTGACCTCTAGCAAGAGGTTAACTCAGATGGCAATCAAGCCCCACTTTTCCCCATAAAAGTCTGTGTGTCTCTCAGTCTTCTTATTTTGGGGGTCATGGCAAATGGAGTATCAGTGTTTGATCTGTGTCCTAAAGTGGCCTCCTTTCTAAAATAGTACGGATTAAGCCCCAGATTTCACCTGAATTTCGGCTACTTTGAACACAGGCAAATCTTTGTTCATATTTTACACGTTTGAGGTCATGAGGAAGCAATCTGGCCTCAGGAGGGGTGCTCCTAATTCCAAGTTCTGCATTTTTAGAGATGCATGTCCTTGGCTCAGCTGAATTCATCTCCTGGCAGGGGGAAAATTGGGGGTTGCTACAACTCTGACCTGGTGCTCTCAATTCCAAAGTTATGCTCTGTCCTGGCTCTCAAATACAGTCTTCTCCACCCGATAAAAATGGCCAGAAGAGCTCTGATGACAGATTACCTTATTCAATGGCTCCCCAGAGTAGCCATAGTCTCTTCTCAGGCATCACCACCAGGATCGGTATTGATCCGTCGGGTACCGAGTCAAACCAGCCTGTCTCTGTAGAGGGCATGGAAGGAAGGCAGGTCAACCACAGCGGTTCTCATCTCTGGCAGAAGCAAATTAATTGATTCTCTCAGCCAACCGTTGGAGCACTTATATGTCAAGGGGAGTTTGGACAGATAGCCCCCCCAGGAAGGAAGAGGGGAAGGATGCACCGGGCCTGTTCATCCTTGGCAGCTGTTCAGGGGGCTGTCAGCATCTCCCTGCAAAACCCTTCCTGCTACCCACCAGCAAGGCCCGTTGGCTGCAGCTCTCGAGGTCAGCAAGGGCAGGGAGGGGGCTTTGAGCAGGAAGTGGTGCCCTGCCAGCATAGCTGCCATTGCTGGGGGTACTCTGGGCCTCTAAGGCGCTTCCGTCTTCTGCTGGATGGTGCCCAGGCCAGACACCTCACTGTGGCCCGAGATCTGCCAGTCCTGGCAGGAGGAATGGCAGGGAGACAAAAGGGGGTCTTGCCCAGCAGGAAACCTCCGACTGGTCAGGGTTGCCCAGCCAAACACCCGAGAGCAGCGAAAGAGCCGTTGGGGATTAATAACAACATTTCTCTGGCCAAGGCCTCCCTCCTTCTCCCAGGTCCTACGCTCTTTGCTAAGGTCACCATTGATTCTGTAAAGTGTACAATTGTCCGATTAAAGAGGGAAGAGGCAGGAAGAAAATGCTAGCTCAGAGGTTTTGCATTGCTCCTCCCTCTCCCTCCTTCTCCTCCTCTCATTTAAAGCATCTTCCATGGGTTCTGAATAGCTTTTCAATTATTTTAAGGGACTCCACGCCACTTTCTTGTGTAACTACGAACCCCATCAAAAGGCCAGAAAGTTGAATGAATATACCGTACGTGTCTCAGAATAAGGTTGCAAGATCCAGTCTGGGTCGGTCAGAGGTTTACTGAAGAGCCAGATTGGATCTTGCAATCAGAAAGGCAGATCTTGGGGTTAAGAAAACCCAGGGGATCAGCTGCCTTTGGCTGGAGTGAAGAATTCATTGTTTTTCATGCAAAGCTGACACCTGGCCGAGGTTTGGCCTAAGCTGATCCTGATTGTGGCCACCCATTCTTAAAGGGCTTTAAAGGGGATTGGCCTAATTAAGGGAGGCTAGCTGTGATTACCTCTTGTGACGGCTAGACTTTAATTCCTCTGGAATGCCAGATGTTGGGGAAGAAAATAAGATGGTCCTGCTACGCTTCCCTCGTCTTTGGGGAGGAAAGTCGTCCCAGGAGAAGCAAGATAAAGCTCTGAGCTAAGGTCTCCTCCAAATGTTTGGGCTGGGGGAATATCGCTGTCAGGGTTCCCAGGGACACCCCCAACGAAAAAAGACTCCGAGGCTTGAAGTTCCTCAAAGTCCCATTTTATTAGAGATGTCATATTGGCACATCTGGGAAAACCCGAATCTGAAAGCTTCCAGGTTTCCCCCACCCAAAGGAAAGTCCAAGTCCCTGCCCAGCACCCAGATGTCCATCACATGGTCCAATCAATGAACCAACCCAACTGGAGATGCCTCCCAGTTCCAGCCCTCCCGGTGCAGGGCAAGATGTCCTTGACTCTCTGAGAAAGGAATGTTATTATGACTACATTATCACCCTGGCTCCATACAATTCCCCCTCTCAGTTTCCCACAGTAGTCAATGTGGCAGGCCTGAAGATCCAATGCAAGAGATGGCTTCCAGGCCTGACAGTCGCCCCGAAAAGCCAAGGACAGGTCCCCTACGGGTGAAGGCTGGACTCCCAAGCAGAATCCCTCAAGGGAACCAGGGATGGTCGTACAACTGATGCTGAGATGGTCTCTGCAAAGCTGCCTTCAGGTTGACTGTTGAGCAGGTGGGACAATACCTGCCACCTGGGGCTTCAGTCGTGCCTCGTATTGGGCAGTTAAACTAGGTTATTGCCACCGTTGTCCAGCACTGCTTTGAGGCTGCTGCTTCCCAGGATTGTAATTGCAGGACTCAAATTAGATTGAACCTCAGATCTGCCAGTCCCTAAGGAAGGAGACTTGGTGTTCACTAAACACCACTAAAAGAGTCACAGAGCGAGTCTGACAGGCGGGCAGCTTGGTCTCCTTCTGGGAGATTCCCCCATCCCTTTGATGCAGGAAGGATGTTTCTAGAAACACTGAGGGGCGGGGGGAGGGGGCGGGAATGATTTGGTCCATTATACCAGGCTTATCCCAGACTTTGGGGCAGAAAGCTGCAAGCAAACCGTTGGAAGAGATGGGAAAGAAAGGCCCGTCTCCGTCCAGTGGACTCGTTTCCCCTTTAATCTTTTAATCTCCTTGCTCCTGGCATTAATCTGCAAGATTCTTTTTGTCTTTATCCCCCAACTACTAAAACAATAGGAGTTAATGCGGGAGAAAGCAGCCATTATCTAATAATTCTGTGGGTCTGAAATCTTCTTACAGGACTTATTTAGCAGAGAGGCCTTTTTCGAGGGACAAGTAATAAAAAGGGGAGGGGGGGTAGTAACAGGAGGGAGGTTTTACAGATCAGGGATGTGGCCTCTTTTGGACCTGAGACATTTGACCAAGTTTGGTAGGGCACGGGGACAATGGCTCCCTCTGGCTAAAGAGCTAAACCAACTTTCTGTGTCCAGGCAAACCTTGGTCAGTCTGCCTCTCCCCGTCTTGCTAGGAGAGGGAGGAGGGAGGGAGGGACCCCAAGCATGGTTGGCACAAGAGGATGGCAGCTTGTGGAATGTGCTGGTAACAAAAGAGTTTGCTGGTAAATCCCCAAGTCTGCAGGACTGAGGGATGGATGTTTTGGTGAGGTCCTTCCTCTTAACCATGATCCATCCTTCTTTCCTTCCTTCCCCCCTCCCTCCCCTTTCCCTCTCCTCCCTCCCTTTCTTCCTCCCCTCCCTTCCTCCCTCTTTCCCTCTCCTTCCTCCCTTCCCTCCCTTCCCTCCCTTCCTCTCCTCCTCCCTCCCTCCCTGTCTTCCTTCCTTCCTTCCTTCCTTCCTTCCTTCCTTCCTTCCTTCCTTCCTTCTCCTTCCTCACCTTTCCTTGCTTAGCCTTCCTTCCTTCCTGCTGCTCCCCTTTCTTCCATTCCCATTTTTCATTCTCTTTCTAATCCCAGTCTTTCTCTCCAGCCCTCCTTTAAGATCTCTGCAATCTTTTCTGCTTGAAAAACCCTCCCGCCTCCTGGAGGAAAGTATCAGCCGAGAAGGCAAAGGCCTAACCCCACAGACCCACACTTACAATTCGTGACAACAGCAGCTGCTGGACCGGTTGTTCGCCAAACATCTGTCTTTCTTTCCTCAAAGAGCTGATTAACTCATGAAGTCTGATTTTTAGAACACGAAGATCTCCGTCCTCCTTCACAGCATAAGAGAGACAGAATCCAGCCTTGTAAGGAAGGGGAGCTGAGCTCCTTCCTGGAATTTTCCTTTCCTAGAATGGAAGCATTTTCCCTAAAGAAGCCTTCTCGGTTGGGATGTTCTCCAGATGTTCTGGGATCTCCCCATCACCAACAGGGACCTCCTGGGTTAACCTCTCAGCTGCCTTTCATCCTGGGCTGCATCTCTCCTTTGGCAAGCCTTCCCCCGTCCCTTCTTTCCATCCCTCCAAGCATCCTCATCTGGAGCTCCTGGGCTCCCCCTGCCAATCCAGAAGGCACCGAATCCATCAGACAAGCTCCCTGTTTCCCCTTAACCTTCGCTGAAGGACCTGGAGGAGGGGTCCCCGGGCCCCAGGGCTGCTTTCCCCAGCCTCCCCCGAAGCCTCCCTGGGAGGAGGCAGCCTCTCCGCTGGCAGCTCCTTGCCAAAAGGGGCGACGTTGGCAGCGCAGGAGTTAAGCAGGAGGCAGCGCTGAAGGCTGGCGAGCGGGCGAGCGGAGCGGAGCTCAGTCGGAGCTTCGGCAGAGGCCGGGAGGGAGGCAGCAGAGGCTCCTGCTGGAAGCGGGCACGAAGGGAGGGCAGCCCTGGCAGCAGTTGGAGCCGCCGCGATCCGTGCCCGGACTGCCGCCTCCAGCCTGGGGAGTCCTTGAAGACCAGGAGTTTCCTTCTCCGGTGGTCGCAGCCCGCCCAACGCCAGCATGTGAGCCCCCACAGGCGAAGCCAGCCGGCCAGCCATGACGGGGGCTTCCGCCTCTGCCATCCAGCCCAGAGCGCTGCAGCCTCCGAGTGGCAGGCTCGGGAGGGAGGACGGGGCCATCTGCCTGCAGCCCGCCAGCTTCGGGGAAGACCCTCGCAGCCTCCTCCTCTGAATGCCCGGCTGCCCCCCAAGCATCCCTCCAGGACCTGGCATGCCCAGAGGGATTCCCAGGGGAGCCTGGAGGTGCCCTTAGAAGCTGCCAAGTGGAGGAGGAGGAGGAAGAGGAGGAGGAGGAGGAAAGGATTTGACCTCGATGACCTCAGAAAGGTGACTTCTCCCAGGTAAGGAGCTCAGGTAGCATCCCATGGCTTTGGATTTCTGGGTTCATCCGGGAGAGGCAGAGAGGGCTTCCTTGGGAGGCCATTTGGGTGAAGTTTTGCTCCCGGTCTGGCAAAGAGAACCGGGGTCTTGTCACATCTCCCCTTCCCCTTTTACTACTAGCCAGAGAGGTGGGCAGGTTGTCCTTCCTTCCCTTAGGTCCATGGGGCCAAAGAGCCTCTCTCTGTCCTTAGGGCCTTCGGTTTCCCAGTGGGCATTTTCTCCAAGGGGGTGAAGTGTTCCTTCAATCGTCCTTTCCACCAAGCCTTTCGAGACCCTCCTCAAGGAGAGAGGGAGAGAGGGAGGGAGGGAGAGAGAGGGGGGAGGTCCTAAGAAAGACTTTGGGCCAGGGTCTTGTTGGGGTTGCAGGGGGGATTTTTGGTCTTTGTGAGGAGAGGGAAAGGAGACCCCCATCTTCTGGGGACGTGAGAAAGAAGGGAGCCTTTCACAACTCAGAACAAGACAGGACAACTTGCCTGAAGCTGGTTGCTTGGCTGTTACCTCCTGAAATCTCGGATTAATTACCTGTTAATGACCTTTCAGCATCCTCTGGGCTCAGAGCTGGGGAGGGGGTGGGTTGAGGGGGTGGGGGATTCTGTCCCCATTTTAGAGGCACAGTTGTTGCTGTTGTGTGAGGGAGCAGAGAGGCTGCCCTGTGGCTGCAGTTGTAACCATGATGGCATTCAGTTCATGGAATTCAAGGCCAATTAGCCCCAAGGAAAAAAAAAAACAGGACATCAAAGGCCGTTATGGAAGCCAGTCATATATAAAACAGAGAAGAGGCTTCCTGAAGAAGGGGGGGAGCTTCTTTCGGAAATGAGCAAGAGACCAAAGGAAACAAATTGGAATTTGTTTCAAAAGAGAGTTTCTTAAAAGTTCCATGAGGGACTTAGTTGGATGGGGGCATTTTAAGAAAGGAACAGGGTGGATCAACTCCCTGGAACTACGGACACTGAAGGAGAAGAGTAAGCATCCTCCTTCCTTCCCTCCCTCCCTCCCCCCCCCTCCCTTCCCTCCTTTCCTCCTTCCTTCCTTCCTTCCTTCCTTCCTTGTAAAGCTGATGAAAAATCAAAGGAGTAAGGGCCGCGTCAGAGGTCATAGTTTAGCCACCCATTGGTGCCTGAATGCAGACTAGATGTTTTCCTGGAGGTCCTGACTGTGACCAGAGTCCCGTTTGCTCGAGACAAAACCCTTTGGAGGTCAAGAGCACCAAGGACTCTTCCAAACGGTTGAGCTGCTCCAACTCCATTGGACAGCATCTGGGGCCAGAGTGTGCTCCATCTGTGTGTGGATGTGGGGAGAAGATGCTCCTTTGAAGGCCTGGGATATTAGCCCAGCAGGGAGTCTGGAGGCCTTCCGCACAGGAAAGGCATTTGGGCATGAATAGCTGGAGGTAACTTCAGCCCAGCTGCCTGATGCAGATTCAGGGGAAATGGCTCTTCTGCGTCCCAGCTTCCCTGGCTGCCTCTTGACCTCAGTGGGTGACAGACCTTCTCTTCCAAATAAGATTCTGCACCCAGCATCCCATTAGAAGATCCGCTCCAAAGCTGGAGTTGGACCAAAGGGCTCATCCAGATGGGCTGAGATCCAGCAAGGCTGAACTGGGGGGAGGGGGGGCTGATGGGGGGGGTTATGAGTGGCCCCATCCACATTGCCTTGAATCCACCAATTACATGGCTGTAGCTTGGGTGGAAAGGGACAGGTGGAATAAGAGGTACCGTGGCTTCATCCACACATGGCATCCTGTAAAGACCTGTACCCCCAAACTGCATGTAGGAAGAAGCCTCTTTAGGTGGGCTTCTGGAAATGCCCTCACAGGCCCCCGTTGCGAGCAGAGGAACAGCTGGTCCCTTTGGGATTAACTTGACCTGTCCTAACTTCCCATTTTCAGAGTGAATAATCTATAGAGGCCACATGTCACACGCTGGAAGAGGAAGATGTAATGGTATCAGTAACTAGCAAATGGGATCAAGGGGCTTTGATCCCCTCTCTCGTTCATCTGGCTCCTTCCCACCCCCCCATTCCAGCAGCTAGTTAATTTTTTTAAGTGCATCCATTGCAGGCAGCATGCAGGGGATTTTTTTTAAACCTCCCTTTCCTCATCCGTTTGTTCATTCGTCTTTTGCAAAGGGCTTTTCTCTCTCTCTCTCCCCCCCCCTCTCTCTCTCTCTCTCCCCCTCTTTCCCTCCCTCTCTCTTTCTTTTTTTCTCTCTCTCCCTCTCTCTCTCTCCCTCTCCCTCCATCTCTCTCTCTCTCTTCCTCTCTCCCTCTCTCTCTTTCTTTTTTTCTCTCTCTCCCTCTCCCTCCGTCTCTCTCTCTGCCGGAATCACAAACGTAGCTTGAGGGTTGTGGTGGAAGAGAGGAGGAGAAGTAACTGGGCTCTCCGAGGATAACTGCACTGCAGCAGGAAGAAGCATCTGGGGCCAGTTTACTAGGGCCTTTCCTTAAATGGGGAGACTTCAACTGGTACCATTCCCAACCAGCATGCAATAGCCAGGCCCACCCCGGGGGCCCTGCAGCTGCTCCTGAGAAGGCAACCCTCTCTGTCGGGGCGAAAAGAAGTGGATGTGCTTTGGCAAGGAGTCAGAGCTGAGGGTTTTTTTCATTTTATATTCCTCATATCTTCAGGCTAGGGGTAGAACTTAGGATCAGCTGGTTGGAGGCCTCGCTTGGTTTCCATCTTGGTCACCGAAGGTTATGCTCTGTGTGACTTTAACATCCTTTCAGAAAAAGAGCCAGGGGGGACCTAAAATGGGTCTTCTCCTTATCAGATGGTTTGGATCCAGGAGAGGATGGAGTTGTGGACCAAATCTGAAGATCACTTGGAGAAGGTGTTTGGAAGCCCAGCTGGAGATGCAGGGACCATTGCTGAGAAGCATCTTCCCACCAGAAACGAAACTAGAGAGGTTCCCACCAGTCTTGGGGACAAATTCTTGAGGGATGATTATGTTGTGTGACCAACGTCTTTCTTTGGTCTGCCCCGAAAGTGCCACCAAGGAAAACCAGCTGACGCCACACTCCCAAATTAGAAAAGAGAGAACAAACGTCTCTTTTTAGTTCTTCCAACATATGTTCATAATTTTAATTGGCTTCCCTCGTCCACCCAGGCTGCACGCATATTCTAGTGTCTCTTTTTTCCCAGATCTAAATCTTCCAGCTTTTCTTTGACCATTGAACTCAGCCGGAGAAGACAAGCCTGTAACTGAAGAGAGAAATGTTGGACAGTCATGTTTGGAGAACTTTCTCACCCTGGTTACTGAACAAGCCCATTTTCTTAGCTTGCAAGAGATAAATTAGCTTAAATACAGCTAACTTGGCTACTTGACATCAGGGGTGGGTTCTACTAAACTGGTTTACTACTGGTTCCCATCGTGCCCGCGTGTGCGCTCTCACTTATGATGACGTCCGGGTCAGTGGGCGGAGCCTCCTGCCGGTTTTACTACCAGTTCTTGCAAACCGGTCTGAACCGGGGGCAACCCACCATTGCTTGACATGTGCCAAACCAAGGTTGTGCCAAGGCATTCCCAAGGATTGGGTGCTGTTTTGAGTCTAGCATTTAAATGTATTGTGGGAAAAGGCATTTTGTAGATCAGAGTCCCCCTTCAGACAACTCCTCATGGGTCCTTTATGGAGCCTTGTTAAATGTGGCTTGTGCACATAGGTTGCGCCTGTGTCTCTGGGTCTCGTTTTTTTCCTCTTCTCTGAAGCTGTTCCTCAGAATAACAGCTCCCTTCTCTTCGGTCCACAGAGGCCTCGGGTGGAAGAATTTTCTTGCTTTTTTCTCTCGACGGTCTTCTGATTCTCAAACAGCAGTGGAACAAATCCCTCGCTTCCTTTTTGACCATGCTTCATCCAGCTTTAAGGGAAGAAGGCCAAACAATATTACAGGCTAATATTGGCTTTATGTGGTTTTTTTTCTCCTGTTTTATTTTTAAAAGAATCTTAAAACAAGGGGGAAAAAAATAGACTTGCAAGCCTCAGTTATGGCTTTCGTGACAGAACAGCCATAACCACCCAGAGGGAAATTAGAAACAGGCTCAGCCTGGCAAGGCCCGATGGATGGGATGGGCCCTGTGGTCCCACCACCTCTGGCTGCCCCCGTCCAGACGGGCTCTCGCTCCCCGCCTTGGCTGACATATTTCGGCGTCTGTCGAAAGACAGCTGTTCCTTTGGGTGGATGGCATTTTTTTAAAAAAGCCAGAGAAATACGATCACCTTGATCTCATCCCTTAAAAACAACAACATGACAATCTGTAGTGACGCCGAATGCATTAAATTTGCATCAAGGCGAGTCACAATTAATTAGAGGCCTGATTAATACTTGATGCCTGCGCTTGCCTTCCTCTGCAAACATATTGAAAGTTGGCAGCCTTCAAAATAATCTCTCTGAGCGCGGGGCAAGTTGCTCGCTTTTCCTCCAAATTTATTTATTTATTTATTTTCCTTCTCACTTTCACATGTTGCAAACCCACCCACCCCCGCCCCGGGAGGAGCAATTTTAATTTTTGTCTGACGCAGGGGTGAAATCCAAATTTTTTCCCTACTGGTTCTGTGGACGTGGCTTGGTGGGCGTGGCATGGGAAAGATATTGCAAAATCTCCATTCCCACCCCACTCCAGGGGAGGGATACTGCAAAATCTCCATTCCACCCCACTCTGGGGCCAGCCAGAGGTGGTATTTGCCGGTTCTCTGAACTACTTAAAATTTCCGCTACGGGTTCTCCAGAACCTGTTAGGTCTGAAGGCTGTTGTGAGGCTGTTGTGAAGAGGGACCGGCAGGGCGGGGTTAAAATTTCCACTGTGTCAGATTCCTTTGATCAGGTCTAATCCTGCTGGGGGGTTTTGTGTGGCCAAGGGCGTCCCCCCCCAGACGTGGGGTGGAGTGTCTAAAAAGCCAGAATGGCAGCCCTGGGTTCAAGGTCCCTTCTCCTTCTTTGGCATGTTGGATATGTGATGCGTGTAAA